CTAGCAATTTCATCATATTCCCCATTTTGATCCAGTTATTCCTGGTGGCCTCTTAGTTGTCCTTGTTTTCTTCTTCCATTTCCCCAAGTTGAGAGCTAGGAACTGCCTTCAACCCACCAGCCACCTCCCTTAGAATCTTTTGGCCTAGTTACCAAGGAGATCCCTGCCAGAAAATCCATGCCATTGTCAAGTTGCTTCTTAGCACTAATTCAGGGCTGAAGAAATGTACCCCTTCAGATATGCTGGGCCAGAGCCCACCAGGCCATCGGTCAATGGTGAGGGGAGTTGCCATCCAACAAATTCCGGGCAACTGAAGATCTCCAATCTGACAGAAAAATAATATTAGGCATACTTGGGTGTCTATCAATTCTCTTAAGCTCTACATACAGGTAGTACTCGACTTACAACAGTTCATTTAGTGACCATTCAAAGTTACAATGACACTGCAAATAGTGACTTATGACCATTTTTCACACATGACTGTTGCAGTATCTCTGTGGTTACATGACTTGCATTCAGATGCTTGGCAACTGGTTCACATTTATGAAAGTTGCAGTATCCCGGGATCATGTGATCAAATTTTGCAATCTTCTGACAAGCAAAGTCCATGGGGAAGCCAGATTCACTTAACAACCGTGTTACTAACTGAAGAACTGCAGTGGCAAGAAAAGTTGTATAATGGGGCCAAACTCACTGAAGAAATTTCTCATTTGGCAACATAAATTCTGGGCTCAACTGAGTATCACTTGTATTTTAATTAATACCTTCTAGTCTTGCCTTAACCGTGAAAGCCAGATAAGTGACTTGGACCATTCATTCTCTCAGCCCAACTCACCCCCCACAGGGTTGTAGTTGTGGGGAAAATAGGAGGAGGAAGGCATGTTGGCTATGTCACCACCTTGGGTTATTTGTAAAAATAATAAAGGTTCAATAGAAATAAATAAATGAAAAAATAATGATTGTATCCGGCATGCAGGTACAAAGGGGACAGGGATTGAATCACAATACAGTGCCCACCATCTTGCAGAATTTGTGGGTGCCCTTTTCAAAAGTCGTCTCAGTCACTAATGCCACTTTCACCTGTCGAGATATTTAAATTTATAACTGAAACAGTGAGGATTGTGTAAAGTCAGAACACACAGTTGTAACTGATTGATTAAAGAGAGCTGGCCGCTGCATGAGGCAATCTAAGCTGTGATTGGTTGCTGTGAGTAAAAAGGGGGAGTTTCCTTATTTCCCGCCTTTTTTTGCCCTGTGTGCCCTTTGATTTACCCGATGATATTCCTGCTGTGTTCATTTACCTGACTAAGCTCCTGTTTGCCTGGATTTCAGAGGTAGTTTGCCCTTGCATTCTTCTTGAGGCCAAGAGCGAGTGACTGGCCCAAGGTCACCCAGCTGGCTTCATGCCAAAGGCAGAAGAAATCAGCAAGTCCTAATTTCTAGCTTGATGCTTTAACCACTACACCAAAGTGGCTCTGTCTAAGGCCAAGCATATTATGTCCTCATATTGTGTTTTGCTCATCTGTGCCGAGATGCAAAAGAACAGGTAGTCCTCAACTTACACAACTGAGCCCCAAATTTGTTGCTAAGTGAGAAATTTGTTAAGTGAGTTTTGCCCCATTTTATGACTTTTCTTGCCACAGTTGTTAAATGAATCACTGTAGTTGTTAGTCACACAGTTGTTAAGTGAATCTGGTTTCCCCATTGACTTTGCTTCTCAGAAGGTTGCAAAAGGCAATCACATGACCCCAGGACATTGCAACAGGTCATAAATGCGAATCATTTGTCAAGCATCTGAATGTAAATCAGGTAACTGTGGGGATGCTGCAATGGATGTAAGTGTGAAAAACGGTCACAAGTCATTTTTTTCAGTGCCCTTGTAACTTTGAAAGGTCACTAAACCAACTATTGCAAGCTGTGGACTACCTGTCTAGGAGTAACCATCCATTATGGGCAAGATAAGAACTATAGAAATAACCATCCCTAAGTAGGACACCCCACTTAAAAAGCCACAAAGAATGTTGGAAGGAAAATCCATCTGGTTCAGTTCCAAGCTGGGAGAAAGATGCTGGAAGTAACATGGCGGCTGATTGGAAAGAAAGACTCTGTTTATTGATGAACAGAACCCCAGCACCAGAGGTGGTATTCAGCAGGTTCTGACCAGTTCTGGAGAACCAGTAGCGGAAATTTTGAGTAGTTTGGAGAACCAGCAAATACCACCTCTGACTGGAGATTTTACAGTATCCTTCTCCTGCCATGCCCACCAAGCCACACCCACAGAACCGGTAGTAAAAAAATTGAATCCCACCACTGCCCAGCACGCTTTTCTAGGGCAACTGACCAAATGGTTGAATGAGGTGATGGATCTCTATAGGTTTCTGTGACTTTGAAATTTGAATCGTTCTGGGGATTGTGCAATGAAGGGGCTTGCATCTTTTGCTAAATGGTGTGGGTTAATCCTATTATAGTGTAAGGTCCCAGAAGTTTCCCTGAGGAACTGAGTTATCAAAGAGAGTGAGATTTGAGGCGAGGCTTGCAAAAAATAACAGCTTTTTATTTATGGCCAAAGTAAAAAGTCTGGGTAAACACTGAACACTATATCCAAAACATACAGACAAAATGCTTGTAAGGAACAGCCACATCCCTGCTAGAGTGGCTCAGAGTATTATATACATTTTACCCCATTAGAAACAAAGTTTATCCAATCAGAGACAAAGGTTCATTACCAACATGGTCTTTAAAGCATTCTTTGCAGGGGTGAGCTGCTATAGCTCCTCCCAGGTTTGGGCGAACCCGTAGCTAATGTTATGGCCGGTTCGGCGAATCGCCAAATCCCACCCCTGGCTGGCCCTGCCCACCCCACCCCGCCTCTCCCACCCAACCCCTCCCCTCCCAGGAGTCTCCATGTGGGCCATTTTAGATGCGAGGTAAATACAGGGCCTGCGCGGAGGATGAAAAATGGGCCTCCCAGAAGTTCCGGAAGTCCGAAAATGGGCCCGTTGAGGAAAGCCTTCAGAACCCGGAGAGGGCAAACACGCCCCCCCCCCCACTGTGGTGCAGGCTGACTAGGCCACACCTACCAGGGCCACGCCCACCCAACAAGCAGGCAGAGAACCAGTTGCTGATATTTTTGAAACCCACCCCTGGTTCTTTGTTCAGGCCCCTGTCTCTGTCCACCTTATCTATGGAGTATTCCTATAGCCTTGTGTAGGGGCGATTTCCCTTCCTGGCCAAGTTGTTTATTCTGCAGAATGGTTTTAGGATTCAGAATCTATGAGGCAGGATACTCCCGACTTTGGTTCCTTTATCTATGGGGCCTGATATTCCTGGATAAGTTTCTTCTATATTTTCAAGAATATGCCTAGCTTTGAAGCCAAGAACAGAAGTGAGACACAGAAGCAAGATAACAAACTTTATACTAATGCTAACCAGTATCAAGAACTGGTTACTAAGCTAGAATTAATTCCTAACAACTAACCCTAACCCTGACAGTATACAATCCCTAACCCTAACCCTGACAGTATACAGTCATATAAGCAGAAGCCAGTAACAAAGCTTAATTCCTAATAAATGATTTCTAGCAGTATATCATATCAGAAGTAAACAGCAAATATTGGTTTGATCACTATGCTCTTTCAATATCCTAAAAGGTCATGTCCTATCTCCCTTAATCCCATCACCTTGGAGCTGAAGATGTTTTGCTTATGAACAGATTGGCCGAGTTTTCTTAATGGCCCCCAAATCTCCATCTCTAAAGATTTCTGCTGGAAGTTGTTTTACTACGCAGGACATTGAGCCTGGAGCATGTTTCTCCATTTCTCCTTTGGGGAAATATAATATTCCACCTCTTTTAATATCCCCCAAAATATTTTATTCTTCTGGGGGTGGCTTCCCACAGAGAGCCTAAAAAAGAGGAAGGGGTCAAGCTATTTTCTAAAGCACCCAAAGGCTGGACAAGGAATAATGGATGGAAACTGAACAAGGAGAGATTTAACCTGGAAATAAGGAGAAACTTTCTGACAGTGAGAACAATCAACCAATGGAACAGCTTGACCTCGGAAGTTGTGGGAGTGCCATCACTCGAGACTTTCAAGAAGAGATTGGACTGCAATCTGTCAGTAATAGTGTGGGGCAAGGGTCTTCAAATTTGGCAAGTTTTAAGACTTGTGGACTTCAACTCCCAGAATTCCTGAGCTAAGACTGGGGGAGGATTTCTGGGAGTTGAAGTCTACAAGTCTTAAAGCTGTCAAGTTTGAAGACCACTCCTTAGGCGCGGGAGCGGGGGGAGGAGGGAGTTGGACTAGATCAGTGATCCCCAACCTTTTTGACGCTGCGGCCCGGTACCGGCATCAGTTGGGCGCCGCGGCCCGGTACCGGCATCAGCTGGGCACCGCCATCTTTTTTTGATGAAAAAGTGCTTCCAGTGAGCTTTCTACCCGGAAAAGCTCACCGGAAGCGCTGGCGCCGCCATCTTTTTTTGATGAAAACGTGCTTCCGGTGAGCTTTCTACCCAGAAAAGCTCACCGGAAGCACTTTTTCATGAAAAAAAGATGGCGGCGCCCAGCAAGCCAGCGGCCCGGTAGGACTTGTTCCGCGGACCAGTACCGGTCCGCGGACCGGTGGTTGGGGACCCCTGGACTAGATGACCTACAAGGTCCCTTCCAACTCTTGATTATCTGTATCTGTAAATAATACAACCCTAAATTAATACAATCAAGATCAAGCGAGGAACACGTGTCATTCCTGCAGAGCGAAGAGGAGAACTTCGCTCGCTCGCTGCTTCCCTGCGGCCCTCTCCCGAGAAACCTTCCGCGGGAAACCCCGGCTGAAAGCAGCGGCCCTCTCCCTCAGCTGGCTGCTGCGCTTTCTCGGCCAGGCAGAGGGCGGCGCAGGAGGCCGGAGACGCAGCGCGACGCTGCATTACGTCGCGGCGTGCAAAGGAGGGGAGGCGTTCTGGCTTCCTTGTAGGTCTCGGGCCAGGTCGCTTGCGAGAGAAACGAAAGCGAAAGCTTCCTTAAAGGAGGGGCAGGTGGAAGAATGGCGGTGGCCATGGCTTACTGCGTGACTCCGCTGTTTGTCGAGGTTTCCCCTCCCGGTTTCTCCCAAGAGAAACTGGAGGCCAAGTTGCAGATTTATTTCCAGTCCCCGAAGAAATCGGGCGGCGGCGAGTGCAACGTGAGAGTGGAAGACCGCGAACGGGGCGTCTATTCGGTGCGGTTCTGGTCGGAAGAAGGTATGTATCCTTGCGGAGCGAGAAGGGAGCGACCCGGCGGGATTCGTGGGCTTCAGTGGGGATTTTTGACCTATTGCAGCTATGGCGATCCATTTCACGGTAGTTTTTGGAAGGATAAGCTCCGTTAGGACTTAATAAGAGTAATTATGATTATCCTTCACGGAGGAGGAGGAGGAGGCTATTCCGGGAAAGGGCTGGTTTTCCCAATGCATACATGAGCGTCAGAAGTCTAATAGACGACTTTATTCCTGGGATATGAGATCAGATCCTTTGCTAGCTTGTTTCGAGGCTGTTTAAAAGCCCCGGAAGCTTGTTTTTTTTTTTTTTTTCGACTTTTCGTGAAGGAGATTGGCAAGTTTACCCCGAAACCTTTTTTTTTTCTTTTTTCAAGAGTCCTTTTTAATTTCCCTTTAGTGTGAATCGGCAACCAAGCTGTGTGGTAAATGGGGCTGGAAGAGAAGGAGGAACATTGTTTTTTTGTTTTTGTTTTTTCAAATTGGAAAATTGGGTAGAAATTATGCCCGTCACCTTTGTTTTTCTTAAAATGGGATAGATAGGCTTCTCAGCCTTCCAACTCTGGATTTTATGATGATGTTGTTAAGGCCAACGCCATTTTCTCCCTTGGGGGGTGGGGGGAGCTGCTGATTCAAATCCCTGATATTTGCCAGGGATTGATTGTTGTAACACACCTTAACTTTTGATTAAAATAATCCACACTATAGACTAGCCAGAACATGCTGAGATATAATAAGTTTCTAGTTAAATCATGATGTAGAAGTGTGCTGCGCATTCTGAGCCAAAATATCAAGAGTGTTTCGAAGGCATAGAAAGAGCAAGCCCCGGTTTTAAAATGTGTGATATTTTTCCCCCAGTACAAAACAGTTCGGATCAAGTTCAGTCTTTTTCTGACACATCTCCCTGCAGCTAGAGCAAGTGTACTTAGCTTACTTTGGAGTTGGGGTTAAGGTTAGAGATTGCAGCTTCCCTGAATTCCCATGAAAAAAACCTTTTGTCAAAGGGGGTAGTGATGAGCTTTTTGCATTATTATGGAGTGGATGATCTTAATAATCGGCTGCTTTCTGGTATGATAAGACTAGCATTTGAGAAAAGCCCTTTACAAAGTGTTTTGGTGAGAGAGAAACAACCCTTGGAGCTTTAATACAGCCACATCCTCTGGAAGTGGCGGCACAGCTGCTTCAAAGGCTTTCTCCAAGAATTTGTACAGGTGTATTCATGCATTGTGTCTCACTTGATGGCAGCCCCAGCTGAAAGGTGTGTTCCTGAATAGGTACAATGGGGATGACCTTCAAAGCAACTGCATGAATTTTGAAAGAACATGGCTGCCAGAAGGAGGAATTATTTGCATGAGCCAATGTGTTTTGCAAAGTCACATTTTCATGTTTTCCAAAATAGCTACAGACTACAGAACGTCTTTCTCTCTTATAAGAAATCATTGAATTAGCCATACTTCTCAACTATGGCAACTTCCAAAGATTTGGGTGTCAACTCCCAAAAAAATGGCCCTGCTGCCTGAAGAACTTTGGAGGCCTCTCTCTGGAAGCTGCTAAGTTTGGGAAGCACTGAGCGAAGGGAAAAATTGAGCAAGGTCCTAAACAGATTTTAAAAAGTATTTGAAGGAGATTGTAGATCAGGGATATCAAACTTGCGGTGTCACATGACGTATCATGACTTTTTCCCCTTTCACTAAACCGGGTGTGGGCATGGCCAACGCATGATGCATCTCAGGTTTCTATAAACTGCTATGTTTATATAACATTTCTATAAATTGTGTATCTCTGTGATTGAGTTGATACAATACGCTAATACTAACTGAACAATTTATTGTTTATATTTATAAACTGCTCATCTCCTTCAAAGAGGGGCTTTGTGTAATGTGTGCACCCTATTATGGTGTAAATGACTAAAAAATATAAGCAAGCAAGACATGTACTTTAATCATTCTATTTTTTTTCTTAACATGATATAGAGAAGCAGCGTGTGAAGGCCCATCGTGGACATACTATAGAAGTTGGGGGAGTAACTTTGGAGATAAGAATTTTGTCAGATTCGGAGTTGGCTATGGTTCATGCTGCAGAAACAATGTTTACAAACAACGCGATAGGCTCACCTTCAACTTCATTTTCTCCAAACTTTTTGCCCCTTCAGAATGATTTTAAAAACAAGCGTGGTCATGAAAGTGCTAGAAAAAAGGTAATCTTCTAAGTTTACTTAACTTTAGAATGCTTATGTTAGCTCCCAACTATCTCCACATTACATGTGACCATAGAAAATCCTGAATCTTCAATGTTGTGAGATATTGTATGTTCAATAAATTAATTTTACACAATAATGACATTTCCATCCTCCCAATTAGTAAAACCAAGCCCCAGATAGGTTATTTGTTAGGTATTGTTATTTGGTATAAATGTGGGTATGCATGTGTGTGCACATGCACATCTGTGTCATAGAAGAAAATACAGATGAACAAAAAAGTTTAACAAATTCAAAATACCCAAAAAGTTTGTAAAGCTTTTTTAAAAATAGTTTTTATAAAAACTGACCTCCTTTTTATACACTGATCAAAAAAATAAAGGGAACACTTAAACAACACAATGTAACTCCAAGTCAATCACACTTCTGTGAAATCGAACTGTCCACTTAGGTAGCAACACTGATTGACAATCCATTTCACATGCTGTTGTGCAAATGGAATAGACAACAGGTGGAAAGCATAGGCAGTTAGCAAGACATCCCCAATAAAGGAGTGGTTCTGCACGTGGTGACCACAGACCACTTCTCAATTTCTTTCTGGCTGATGGTTTGGTCACTTTTGAATACTGGCGGTGCTTTCACTCTAGTGGTAGCATGAGACGGAGTCTACAACCCACACAAGTGGCTCAGGTAGTGCAGCTCATCCAGGATGGCACATCAATGCGAGCTGTAGCAAGAAGGTTTGCTGTGTCTGTCAGCGTAGTGTCCAGAGCATGGAGGCACTACCAGGCCAGTACATCAGGAGACATGGAGGAGGCTGTAGGAGGGCAACAACCAAGCATCAGGACCACTACCTCCGCCTTTGTGCAAGGAGGGACAGGAAGAGCACTGCCAGAGCCCTGCAAAATGACTCCAGCATGTGGCTGCTCAAACAGTCAGAAACAGACTCCATGAGGGTGGTATGAGGGCCCGACATCCACAGGTGGAGATTGTGCTTACAGCCCAACACCGTGCAGGACGTTTGGCATTTGCCAGAGAACACTAAGATTGGCAAATTCGCCACTGGTGCCCTGTGCTCTTCACAGATGAAAGCAGGTTCACACTGAGCACATGTGACAGACGTGACAGGGTCCGGAGACACCGTGGAGAACGTTCTGCTGCCTGCAACATCCTCCAGCATGACTGGTTTGGCAGTGGGTCAGTAATGATGTGTGGTATTTCTTTAGGGGGCCACACAGCCCTCCATGTACTCGCCAGAAGTAACCTGACTGCCATTAGGTACCAAGGTGAGATCCTCAGACCCCTTGTGAGACCATATGCTGGTGTGGTTGGCCATGGGTTCCTCCTAATGCAAGACAATGCTAGACCTCATGTGGCTGGAGTGTGTCAGCAGTTCCTGCAAGATGAAGGCATTGATGCTATGGACTGGCCCGCCCATTTCCCAGATCTGAATCCAATTGAGCACATCTGGGACATCATGTCTTGCTCCATCCACCAATGCCACGTTGCACCACAGACTGTCCAGGAGTTGGGGGATGCTTTAGTCCAGGTGTCGGAGGAGATCCCTCAGGAGACAACCAGCCACCTCATCAGGAGCATGCCCAGGCATTGTAGGGAGGTCATACAGGCACGTGGAGGCCACACACACTACTGAGCCTTATTTTGACTTGTTTTAATGACATTACATCAAAGTTGGATCAGCCTGTAGTGTTTTTTTCCACTTTAATTTTGAGTGTCACTCCAAATCCAGACCTCCATGGGTTGCTAAATTTGATTTCCATTGATAATTTTTGTGTGATTTTGTTGTCAGCACATTCAACTATGTAATGAACAAAGTATTTAATAAGAATATTTCATTCATTCAGATTTAGGATGTCTTATTTTTGTGTTCCCTTTATTTTTTTGAGCAGTGTATATCTGCTAATTTGCAATATAAGCATTTAGGCTTCTTTAAAAGCCAAAGTGTAGGAGAGTATATTTGCCATGCTGGAAAACCTTGTTTATTAGAAGGAATAGACTGATACCAGAAAATGACTAAAGAAGGAAGACACTAACTCACTGTGAAATTCTTCACTGTAGAATACCTTTATGTTAACGTAGAGTACTTTATGTTAAATCTCGTGTATCATTTTTATTGTACTGGCTCACATTTCTTGTGTTCTCCTCCTCCTCTATTTATTTTTAGATATTTCTTGAGGTCTCTGCCACCTTGAATACTGACTTGCTCACTAAAGAGCAGAGAGATCAGGTGATCACTGTATGTCACACCTTAAAAATAGACAAAATGTCAAGTCATCTTGGTATTGAAAAGGTGGTGGGACAGTATGAGGATATTGAAAAGTTACACAGTCATTTTGAGAAGCTTCTTAGAGACCATGGTGGCAGTGAATTTTTGCAACCCAGAAAGCAGGACAATTGTGTTGAAGGAAAGGAAAATCACAACAGACGATACAGGAGTGATTTAGAAGAACTGGCCAAGATGGAAGTTCCTTCAGGTATCTTTGAATATTTTGGACAAGCCTACAAGGAAGAAATTAAAAAAATCGAGGAGACGTTCAGTGTAAAATTAGAAACGGGCAACACTGAGAATGGAGTTACTTCTGTCTGGTTTTCTTCAATGGGGATACCAAACTTTACTAAGAAAGCTCAGGAGGAATTTGTCCTACTTTTTCAGAAAGTTGCAGGAGATCTAAAACAGGAAACATTTCCTTTCATTGACAGCCAGACATGTGAGATGATAAAAAGCAAATGCAAACACCTTATTATTAAAATTATTAAGGACACAGCTATTCTTCAAGGCCCCACAAAGGACGTTTCAGATGCAAAGGCATTGTTAAATGAAATGACAGCAAACAGCTGGGATAAAAAAAATCATCCCCATGCACAACCATCTGGCATTGAAGTTAACGCTGCGGTATTTGCATTTCTCAAACCAAAGTTAAATCCGATAATTGAATTAATAAACAACCAGTGTTGTACTAGAATGGAAGAGAAACATTGTCATGGTGATCAGTTAACAGGCATCATTTTTATGCCCCAATCATATGCACCTGCAGATCGTTCTTCACAAGCTTCTGAGCAATTTCAGTATGAATACCTGATACATTTAGAAACGCCACAAATGAAAGAAATTCCTTTGAAACTTCTGGAAGATTGGAAAAGAAAATGGAAGGATTTATTTAGATGTTTCCAACATGAACATCCCAAAGTAGAACTGTGTCTAAAGGAAAACAACCTGTTCATTTACGGTCTTCCTGAAGACATACTGCTTGCTGAGAAGCACATCATGGAGTCCCTGAAAAGTGAGGAAATTGTACCTGTAAATAGTGAAGCAACAGCCATTCCTGATTCCAGTGTTCCTGATTCCCCAGGCACATCCTTTGAGTCACAAAGAGATCACAAAATGCAGCAGGTTCTTTCTCGGGAGCCGCCAGTAGGGAAGGCATCGGAAGTCCAGCAAGAGGAGTGCTGTCCCATCTGCCTGATTAAAATCTACCAGAAAAAAGTGCTACCCAAATGCAAGCATGCATTTTGTGCACCCTGCATAGAAACAGCAATGAATTACAAGCCAGTCTGCCCTGTGTGCAATGTTGTCTACGGGAATATAAAAGGAAATCAGCCCCCAGGGAAAATGAATGTCTTCAAAACTAGAAGTTCCCTTCCTGGTCATCAGAATTCTGGAACCATCACTATTCATTACCATATATTTGATGGCATTCAAACAGTAAGTTGGAGCAACAGTATGTTTCTGTGCCATAATTAGTCACCCTCTTGTGTTTCAGTTTTTAAAAAAATATTTTACATTCCAAGGAAATAATGTAATAGCAATTCAGTTGGGAGTGTACAAGCAAGAGATCTAAAAATCTTTAGAAGTCTTCTAAACATCTATGCAGAGGCTAGAATGGAGTGCATACCCACCTGCTCTTATGTCCTCTCAAGAGTTGAAGATGCACCAGTAGTGATGGCGCATCCATGGCCAAATACTCTGAACCATGATTATCATAGGATAGTGGTAATGCAAGTGGTGGATGGGACTTAATCTCTCCCTGGGTTTGTTTTCACAATTCAAATTGCCCACTATTCAGTCACCCCACTTCTCCTAATAGTCTGCCTGTTGTACCAAAGATCTTTCTTTTTTATAGGAAGGAGGTCTTCAGTCTTGGATAGGAGTGAAAGTCTGGTTGCAACCACCCCACCATATTTGCCACATTTGCTTGAAATGCCAAAGTCTATGTTGGGCCAATATATTTTATTAGGTTCTGTTAGAGGCTGTGTAGCTGCATCTGAAGCAGAAAAGATGCTTTGGAAGGATGATGGTGATGGTAGCATGTTGCACATCTTGGCTCCTTCTCCAGGCAGCTGTGTCCTTTCCTAAATTGATGCGAACTATTTGGGCTCAAAGTGTCAAAACTTTGGAAAATGCCAAACTTGACTCGGTTGGTATCACACACACACACACACACACACACACACACACACACACACACAGAACAAAAGAGAGTGGTCTAGATGGTCATTGAACCATCAGAACATAGGAATAGCGCTGAGGTTGGGTCTGAATTAGAGACCTGGACTGCAACTTCAGTCCTAGTGTCACCTCACATTGTTCTTCAAAGTCTTGGGGAATGGTGCAATTGCCCCTAGCCCTGCGTTCCCCAGGATCTGCCATGCACTGCTGACCTTCTGATGGAGTTCCCTTTCTGTTGAGAGGGCCGTATGAACTACCTGAGGCTGCTCCAGGTCACACAAGACCCTTAAAATAGCTTCAGAGAATGCTTTCTCATGGCCTCTGCAGCCTAAGTGGAAGCTTGCTCTCTTCTCATGTAATTTTGGGAGGTTCTGAGGCCACACCATAGCACGGCCCTCATGCTTGACTTCTGCAAGGTCTGCTTGAGAGCAGATCCCTTTCTCCCACGGCCTCCACAGTCTTCAAGTATCACATGAGAATTAACAATGAGTACCAAGGTACCACTGGAACCAATTAACTCGGCGTTAATTGGTTCCAGAAGGCACAAATACCGAAAACAATGAGTTCCAGACAGATTTTTGCCATAAGGAATAATGTCACCAGGCAGCTAACACTGAACACAAATTGTAGCTGTCTGTGTGGAGTAGCAAACGTGATGAGTACTGGGACAAAATTTTTGTGTCAAAATGCACCAAATTCAATGAGTTTCAAAGCAGTTGAATACCAAGGTACCACTATAGTAGTTGTCGAGAGTTGGTTAATGCCCACATGCCCACATGTTCCCCCAAGATGTCATGGCATATTATCTTTGACATGCGTGATTCACCATCACTGTCCTAGGTTCACAGAAAGCTTGCAGCTCCAGCAAAATAGATGTTCAATTCAAGGAGAGGATGACAGCATGCACCAAGATTATTGTGCCTTACTGGTGCTTCCTTACTGTTTATGTAACTCAAGCACAGGGTTTCCCAGGGTTGTCAGTGCCAGGGAGAGCCACTAGAGTTTGGTAACAGTGCAACAAATATGTCCCTTCCACTGCATCATTTCAACTTCAGATCAGAATAGCTACACAACAGTTAGCCTCTTGCAAATGAAATCTGAAACAAGCCGAGTATGTTAATATTTCTGAGTCTTTCCAAACCAGGAAAGGCATCCTCACCCAGGGAAACCTTTTCATGGAACATACCGCACAGCATACTTACCTGACAACAAAGAAGGAAGAGAAATTGTGAAATTGCTGCAACGGGCCTTTGAACAAGATTTGGTTTTCACAGTGGGCCAGTCGCGAACAACTGGTGCGAATGACGTGGTTACTTGGAATGATATTCATCACAAAACTTCTATTTATGGAGGAGAAAAAAAGTAAGTTCAATTTTTTTTTTTTCCGGATGAAGAATAATAGATTTCCCCTGATATAATTTTGCATGCAATTGTGATTATTCTGGAACTCGTCAAGATAAAATCCATATCGCCACCAAGCCGAGTGAAGCAAACATACTTTGGTTTTCAATCACAAAGAGATATTTTGCTGTAAGTGAAATAGTATAAAACAATTGTTTCCTGTTGGGTGGTTTTTAGTTATATGGGATTACAATACCCATGTTCTGGGAACATGAGATTTGTAATCCAGTGTATGCTAGGAATGGTTGATGTCATACAGGGACCTCCAAACTTGGCAACTTTTAAGACTTGTGGACTTTAGCTCCCAGAATTTCTCAGCCAGCCATGAGATCGGGGTCTCCCCTGATCTAATAGCTCGTGGCAATCAGACTTCCCATTCAATCTGAACAGGAACATCCTTTCACTACTCACTGGTTCCCTCCCCCCTTTCAAGTGTTCCAAATATGTTTGGAATGGACTGGGGTAGATTTTGATGAAGAGCAGGGAAGTCCAAGTGAAGTTCTCTTCCTCAGAGCACATTCTCTCTTCCTATTCCACATTGTCTAAAAGAGGGGTGGATCTGGAAATGAGAAGTGCATGTAGGCAAAAGGCCTGGAAGAAGATGGCGACGCTTTCCTTCCATGGATTTCCTTAACCTTCCTTAAAATCCAAGCTCCCTAGGGGTGCTTCAGCCAATATTGGGCTAGGTTAGAAAGAAAATGTGCTGCATTGAAAACCTGGTTTCAATGGGTAGGAGTGCTGGTTTTTTCAAAAGAGGACCCGAATCCAAGTTTCTCTTTGGGATAGAATCGGTTTTTTTTAATTAATGTGTGTGTTTTTTAATTAATGTGTGTTATTATGGTAAATTATTTTCAGTAGAAATTGTAAACATCAGGAAGATCTTTGTGTTGTGGGGCCCTTGGTGTTCTCTGAACTTGGTTGTTTTCTTGCAAACCAACCAAACTCAGCATCAAGAACCCCACAATTCAACCGTGAGTTACCAATTTTCTATTAGATCTTTGTATCAACATTATTACGTACATCATCTTATTCCTTACTCATTCATCAGTGAAATTAGATTATTTTTTCCTTAAGTATAATTTAAACTGTTAAATCAGTTTATGTATTTGCAAACCATTTTTAAAATAGTTCTACTCAGCATTGGATAGTATTATTAAACGTTTGTGTTTCGTGCTTCCTTGATTTAAGCAAATCTCTTGTCTCCTTTCTAGTTTTGGTTATCCTGATCCTGATTATCTGAAACGTGTTAGAGAAGAGCTGAAGGCAAAAGGAATTGAATGAATATTTTTATTTCTGTGAGCAGTCCAGAACTTCTAACTTGTCTATATATATATCATTTTAATTTAGTAGAGAAGAATTAATAAACAATAGCTTTGGCAGTATTTTTTGCTTTCTAGAATTTCACGACAATTGTTAAATTAATGGTGGTGTATTCAGAATTATAGATGCAAATTGAAAGAATTGTTAATAGTTTTGATTGAAGCTGCAATCCAAAAATATTACATAGAAACGAACTCCATTAATGTCTTCATTGCAATTGTGTTAATGTCAAGCCTAGATATGACTACGCATGGATAATTAGTCTCTATGATTACATCATTTGATATCGTTTTGAATTTCAGTTTGTAATTTCCATTTTTAAGTCTGCTGTCAGTGCCCTTACTATGTTGTGAATCTTTAACATTTAAGAGAACTGCTATTTAGTCTTACATTTTAGCAGGCTGGATATTAAAACAGGATGGTGGCTGAAGAGCTTGGCGTTATTGGTGCCCTGCCTCTCCCTCCCTTGAGGAGGAGTACAGTTAGGGCAGGTGAAAATCTTGCTCAATGCCTTGCTTTCCTTTCTCAATTTAAAGTTGCTAACTGCAGCTTCAACCAATTTTGGAGCTCTCTCTCTCTCCCCCTCTCCCCTCTCCCTCCAACTCTCTCCCTTCGTCCACCCACCATGTCTCAAAATAGAGTGGGCCTGAAAGAAAATGAATCAGTGTTTGAATCAGAAACCATTAAAATCAATGTCATGTAAAATTACTATTTTTTAAAACTGTATTTACTTAAGGTTCACACACATGAGCCCCTGTTGTTTTGAGGCATTTCCTAATGGAATCTCCTCCCGCTCCTCGTTTAAAGTTCTCCATTTGGAAGAAAATACATTTTTTGGTTATGTTAGGCAGGCTTTTCTTTCTGGAGAACAATGACTTGAAAGCATAATCTTTGCTTTTCAGTTTCAGGCAATGATATGGTATATGGCTCACTCAGTTTCAGCCAGTGTGTATGTTCCATGACCTATTGTGAAATATAACCAAGGAACAATAAAAAGCTTACTCTCGTTGTGTGCGATTTGTTCTATTTGAAGAGACTGTATGAATCGGAATCGCAACCCTCCTTTCTCCATGAGCTCTAAAGATGACTTTTATTCTTACAACCAAATGCCCTGTGGAGTAGCTCAGACTAAGGGACATCCTGAGTTCTCCAGTATCAGTGGGCTTGAACCACTACACCCAACCACCAGGCCGCGGACCGGTACCGGGCCGTGGAACATTTCCTACCAGGCCGCCGGTTTTCTGGCGCCACCATCTTGTTTGACGCGAAAGTGCTTCCGGGTGAGCTTTTCCGGTTGGAAAGCGGCGTTTGGGTCCTGAAGGAATCCTCGCGCCTTAATTTCATCAAAGGGGGGGGGCTTCGAAAGAAACAGGCGCGAGGATTCTTTCAGCACCCAAGGCAAGACGAGCCGAGCGGCTGTCCCGAAGCCGTCCCGAAGCGAAGCCCATCGACAAAGATACAAAGGAGGAGTTGAAGGTGGTGGGGAGAAGCGGGGGACGGCTGGCTGGCCGGTCGCTCGGCTCGCCTTGCCTTGTCATGCGTGCTGATGCCGGTACCGGGCCGCAGATCATTTTGTGATGCCGGTAAAAGGTTGGGGGCCACTGCACTACACCACTCTCCTCCAATTTTCAGACTTTGATTTCTCTCTCTGCAATGATTTATATAGAGAAAATACCTTGTTTTGACCATGAACTGTCTGGTAGATAGTCCTCAATTTACAACCACTAATTTAATGAACAAACTTACGATGGCACTGAAAAAAATGACCAATTCTCATATAATGACCATAGCACATACCCTTCAAATGATCAGATTTTAGGTGTTTGCAACGTTGCAAAGTACTAGGGCCTTGTGAGTGCTATTTGCAACCTTAAAATCCATTGGAGAAACCAGGTTTACTTATCATGGCTCGCTTAACTACTGCATTCACTTAATGACAATGGCAAAACAGTTTGTAAAATCAAACATGATTCCTTACCCAACAACCACCTTGCTTAACAGAAATAATGGCTCAAGTTATGGTCATAACAAGGATTACCTGGGTTTGGCACCTCAAGGATACTTTCTTTACATGGCAAATTGGTGTTTTTTTTCTACTCAAACTACATGATTCCAGGAAAACCATCTCTGCTGTGCCCCAATTTTCAGATTAGAAAAGGGTGGAATCCCTCTGATTCACACATTACTATTAGCACAAGTGCAAGATGAAACAAATGCAGGTTTTCTGGAGGGTTACAAGCTTTCCCAAACCCACCGATGGTTCTCCAATGGATTCCAATTTTCATCAGCATGGCCAATTAAGGAACTGAAAGACTTGGAAGACTCAGAACTGAACTGTGGTTTAAACCAGGGGTCACCCACCTTTTGGACCTCAGGGAACACCAAACTCCTAATTTTAAATCCCGGGGACCACTAATATGAATTTTGACTGACAGTGGCTTGCTGATGTTAGTGGGGGAGAGGGAGGGGGAGAGATCTAACCTCTCTCTCCCTCTCCCCCCGTCTCACAGAGGCAGGGGTAGAATTCAAATTTAACTGGTTCTGTGGGTGTGGCCTAATTTGTGGGTGTGGCTTGGTCATGTGACTGGCTGGGTATGGCTTGTATGTAAATATTATAAATATGTAAATATTGAATTTTTTGTAAAAAAAGAACTTTTATCCAAAATCAGGCAAAGCAGGCAGGTAGATGGAGTTGCTCACATAATCACAGATTCACTTAGAGATCTATGATTCTGCCATCGGCTACCTGCACTGAATAATAGAAACTTCAGTCATAAGGAAGGTTAGGCTCTGCTTAAAAGCAGAGCCAAAGATCTAAAGATTAGCTAGAAAGCAAGAAATCGAATGGTTTCCTGCTTTCTAGCTAATCTAAATCTGGCACAGCAGAACAGCTGATGGTTGGGGGGAAAAAAGGGAAAAATAACAACTTAGCAGGCAAGTTTGCCAGGTAAGGAGTGAGTGGGCAGAGAGGGTTCCTGTGGGCCATGTGGGTGGTGCAGCCTTGTGATCCCATGCAGCCTGGATTAATTGCTTTGAGGGTGCTCTGGTGGTGACATTTCTCTGCAGACCACCAACATTTTCTCATTGACCACCAGTTGACGACCACCGGTTTAAACCATAAATCTCCCTTAAAGCTGACATTCATGTAGCCCAAGAATAACTGTAAGACCAAACACACATTTTTTTCAGAAAACATTTATTGAACTAAATGGCAAGTAATTCTTAGAAAGATAATAAATGCAGGCACTTTAGCATGTAAGCCAAGATAATCCTCTTTAATAAAAATGTGGCAGGATGAGAGAGCTGACATCACTGTTATATTTTTAAATGGCAGGAAAATCAACGAGAGGTGGCAGCTCCTCTAGAGTTGGGAAATTGACTTTTCTTTTTTTTTAAAAAAAAACAAATTTTATTAATTTTACAATTAAAAAAACAAATCTACAACATATACACAAATGACAAAACCAGAGAAAAGCAAGAAAAAAAGAAAGAAGCACGAAAGGAAAGGAAAAAGAAAGGAAAGGAAAAGGGGGAAGGTGAATACTTAAAAACATTTTCTTTTTCGACAGTTTGTAAGATCTTATAGAGAAGATTAAACCCAGAAGAAAAACAATTTACATATTACTCTAACCCACACAAAATATGGACAAGAATAGATATGGCCTGGATGAATGGGGAAACTGCAAATGAAATAAAAGGAATCGAAATTTTACCAAACGAATGGGCCGATCACAACAACCCAATTCAAATAATTTGGAAAGGCAGAAAAAAACCAAAGAAAAGATGGACATTAAACACTCAACTAATAAGAGAAGAAGAGTATATCAATAAGCTTAAAGAGGAACTAAATTATTCCTTAAAGGAAAATGATAATGATGCAACCTCGAAACAAAATATCTGGGACACATTGGAGGCAGTTATAAGAGGAATAACAATCTCTTATAATGCCATGAGAAATAAAAGAAAATATGCTCAACAAAATAAATTACAACAACAAATTAAGGAATTAGCAATCCAATTACAAAAAACACCCAAAAATCAAAGAGTACAAGATCAGTTAATAACAACTAAACATAAATTGAACTTAATGGAACAAGAAAAAAATGGAAATAAATTGGAAAATGACTAAACAAATTTATTTTGAATATGCAAATAAACCAGGAAGATGGCTATCTTATAAACTTAAAAAAGGAAAGAGATTGATATACCAGTTAATAGATGAGAAGGGCGACTTACAACATGAGATAGAAAAGAAAAGACATTATTCACAAATATTTTGAAAAGTTATATAAAAAAGAAGTTAATGAGGATAAAATAAGAAATTACTTAGAGGAAACGAAAGACAAAATAGTTGGAGATGAATGGAAAGAATTATTAAATAAAGACATTACATGGTCCGAATTGAATAGAGAATCAAAGTAATAATAAAACCCCAGGGCCTGATGGGATCCCGGCAGAATTATATAAAGCAATAACGGAATTAATTGGACCACTGATGATGGAAGTGTTTAATGAGGTATTATTGGCAGCTAAGATGCCACTCGTGGAGGGGAGCACTGATTTCGCTGATCCCGAAGGAGGAAGCTGACCACAGATATATTAACAACTACAGACCAATTTCACTTCTAAACACTGATTATAAAATATTCTCCTCCACTATAGCCAATAGACTAAAACAAGTTTTAAATCTATACATACATGAAGACCAAAATGGATTCCTCCCGACTAGACAAAGAATAATTTAAGAACAGTAATAGATGTCTTAGATTTTATGAAGCCCACCCTGAGAAACAATCCACACTTATTTTTTTTAGACGCAGAAAAGGCATTCGACAATTTAAATTGGCATTTCTTAATTCAAAAAATTTATAATATGAATCTAGGTACCAAATTCGAAAATATCATAACAAATTACGATACACAGCAGGCTAATATCTTAATAAATGGGGAACACACCGGTCCAATAAAAATAGAAAAAGGAGTTAGGGCTGCCCTCTTTCACCTCTTCTCTTTATATTCACTCTAGAAACACTCTTAACTCGTATTAGGCAAAATCCTGAAATTAAAGGATTGAAGATTAAAACAGAAGAATACAAATTGCAAGCGTTTGCCGATGATATGGTTTCTTTTTGGAGGAACCAATAGAAAAAGGATATAAATTG